CCCCCCACCCCCACACCCCCCCCCAACCCCCCAGCACCCGCCTTTACACCCCCAATTCCCAGCAGCTGCACCTGCACCCACCCCCCAACTCCCAGAACTTGCCTGCTCTAACTTCCAGTACATGCACCATCCCCTGCACCTGCCCCCACCCTCTTGGATTCTCATACTACCCTCCCCCAAGGGGCCACCAAGGCCTGGAACACATGGCAGTGGGACCTCCCAGGCAGCCAAAGCCTCACGAGGCACCCAAGGCAGGTGCCAGCCCCAGCTCCAGCCCTGAGTCCCTCCTTCCCCCCTGCTTGCCCCTCCCAGGTTCTTTCCCCAGTCCCTCCCCTGTTGCATATTCCCCAAATAAAAGTAACACTTTTTTTTAAAGGCTTCTTTATTTGTTCTGCTGAGGAGGGCAGTGGAAGGAGGGTAGGGGAGGAAAGACACACAAGGGCAATGCAGAGGGAGACCCGGAGGAAGAGTCTCACAGGTAGCCTTGTCTGAAACTCTCCCTCAAGGTATCCCTGATTAGCGCAGCCCCCTGATGTGCTCACCAAATGGCAGTGATGCCCAGCTGCTCATAAACCCTCATAAAAGTCATGGAGATTAGGTCCATGGAGTGCTATTAGCCAGGGGGTAGAAATGGTGTCCCTGGCCTCTGTTTGTGGAAGGCTGGAGATGGATGGCATGAGACAAATGGCTTGGTCATTGTCTTCGGTCCACCCCCTCCAGGGTACCTAGTGTTGGCCGCTGTCGCCAGACAGGCTACTGGGCTAGATGGACCTTTGGTCTGACCCAGTACGGCCATTCTTATGTTCTAAGCTCAGGGTTGGGGGTCTCACTGGACCACCTTGATTTTCATGCAAACCTGCTCCTGGGTGGCCAGGCTGGCAGCTCTCCTGCCCTAGACGGCCACTTTCCTGTGCCTAGGGTGGAGGTCGTGGACGTTGGAGGCCTCCCCACAAACCTGGATGAGGTCCACGATCTCCGCACTAGACCAGGCAGGCGCCCGCCTCTTGCAGCCCCGGGCAGCCTCCTGGGAGCCACCAGCCTGGTCCCGGGAAGAGGTGGAGGACTGGGTGGCAGCGGGTGGCTGGCTCGTGCCATGCCAGGTGCAGGGTCTGCTGGCTGGGTGCTGGCAGGCTTGCACCTGGCACGGGCACACTCCGGAGCCGGGAGGGGGGCAGCCAAGTTTCCCTAGTTGTGCCCAGAGTGGCCACCAGGGCGAGCTGGGAAGGGCTAGCCTCCAACTAGTTCGAATTAAGTGGCTACACAGCCCTTAATTCGAACTACTTAATTCAAACTAGGCGTTAGCCCTCGTAGAATGAGGTTTACCTAGTTCGAATTAAGTTCAAACTAGCGGTTTGCCTGTGTAGCGCCTATGAAAGTTAATTAGAACTAATGGCTGTTAGTTCGAATTAACTTTGTAGTGTAGACATACCCTTACATCTCTAGTACATAAACAGAAAAAGCCAATTCACGGACATCTTTGTCAGCTGGTTGGTGAAGGCACACGATGCCCGCATCTCCCACAACTCCAGCCTGTACCATAAGCTGGAGGCTGTCACTTTCTTCCCTGAACACAGCTTCAGGGTCGGGAACATTGAGAAGCCACTCTGCATTGTGGGGGACATGGCTTCCCCCTTCATGCCATGGCTTATGAAGCCATATACTGGACACCTTGACCCTAGCAAGGAGCACTTCAATGGCTGCCTCGACAGGGCCCGCATGCAGGCCGAATGTGCCTTTGGGTGCTTGAAAACACAGTTCCGGTGCCTCCTGACGTGTCTCGATGTAGAACATTCTCCAGGTGATATCTGCATGTTGTGTGCTCCACAACATCATGGACAGGAAGGGGGAGGCCTTCCTTCCAGGGTGGGGGGCAGAGACCAGCTGGGAGGGATGGGCCTTCGAGCAAACGAACGCACACATCTGCCATCCGCCAGGCCCATCAGGTGGAGATGCACATCCAGGAGACACCGAGGAAGAGTTTCTCTCAAGGACACCAGTAACTCCCCTCACTGCCTCCCCACTAGGGGCCCGGGCCTTGCCACTTTCTGCCTTTCCTCCCACAACCCCTCCCTTCTCCCCTCCACCCCTATTCCCTGCAGACACAATAAAAACAATTATTTTTATTTGGATAGAAGTAACTGGGGAGAAGGGGGAAGGAGAACCTGGAAATGGGGAGAGGGAATTGAGAACTGTGGCAAGGAGAGGGAGAGGGGGCTGAGAAACTTGGAGTGGGAGAGGAGGCTCAGGGCTGGGGCTGAGGGTATGTCTACACTACCCCGCTAGTTCGAACTAGCGGGGTAATGTAGGCATACCGCACTTGCAAATGAAGCCCGGGATTTGAATTTCCCGGGCTTCATTTGCATAAGCGGGGCGCCGCCATTTTTAAATCCCCGCTCGTTCCACGACACTGAGCTATTTTTCTTTAGTTTATTTTCAGCGGCTGAGCATTACTGGAGTGTTATTTGTCTGATGTTATTTTTCCTTAAAATATGACACGGTAGAATGAAAATACAGCCACTTTCTCTAAGTTATCTGGTGGAGGGGTTGTTTATATCAGAATGAAACAAATACGTCAACAGAAGTAAAATGCATGGAATAATTTCAGAATAATATTGGTTGATTGAATGTGTGTTTTAAGAATAAGAGCCACATTTTGCATCATAACTCAACTCACAGGACCATCTATCTAGATTTTAGAATTGTCATTAATAGAGATTTTTCACTATTACACAGTCTTAATTTACTAGGTTTGTCAAGGATGTTCACCACTCTGGCATTTCAAAACCTTACTTCTACAGGCACAGATTAAAAAAAAATGTCCCCCCCAGAATAATAATACACAGATTTCGGGGAATCACTGCCATCATCAAGTGCTTTTTTTTATCCCTAAAAAAACAGGGGTCAACACTTGAAATCACCCCCAATGGTACCCCAAGTTCTTTTGCCCCAAAAGAGCTTGAAAAAGAAAAGAGAAAAACAAGCTGCAGTCTCTGGTAGCTGACCCCGCAATCTGAGACATGCTGATACTCACGGAAAGCCCTTCCAGGACACAAGAATCAATCATCACCTTAAAAGAAGTGATTTTTATTACAAAACAAAAGACACACTTGACAAAGCATACTTGGTTGCTAGGCGTTACAGAGCAACTAAGGAAAACAAATTTAAAAAATCAGAGCACATCTCTGGCATAATGCTCAGATGGTAAAGGGGAGGGGAGGCATAGATACACACTGAGCAGTTCAAACCAAACCACAAAATAAAGGAAAATTACTCTGACTAGACACAAATTTCCCTGGTCCGCACATCTAATTTTCTTTCTGTTTAATCTGCTCCCATGCCCTGAATTCAGAATCAGACTCATTCTGTGTGTCTCAACTCCTGGTTTAATTCTCCCACACAAAGAAAGCAGGCAGGAAATCTATATCCAATTCTAATTTCAAGCCTCTATCTCGATAGGCTGTCCTGGCCTCCTGGCCAACACCTTTGCTAGGTACCTGAGTTAACCCCTTAGTCACCTGGTGCTGGTCAGCACACTCCCCACTCCGTTCATGAGAAGGCTCTTCTCGTTGAGCTATACCAACCTATGAACTTTCTTCATTACAAATAATGTCAAGTAGCTTTCACAAATAAAATAGAAAATAAATTACAAGCAGCCAGAGAGAGACGTAACTACTTTATCTCCTCACAGGGCGAGAGCTGCTCTGCATCGTGATTCTGAAAGTGAAATAAACACTGAAAAAGCCAAGATGTATGGTAGTACTGGGGTAATATTTGATATTCATTTATATTTTGCCATGGAGGCATCCATAGCACTCTAGAGAAAAATATAATGGACAGGACTCTGTCCATTTTAATTAGCTATAAACAGCAAAGGTAAAACCCAATGGCGGAGAAGGCGGGATGGGAGGATGATGGTTACTATAATGCTGGATCATGAAATATGCTTATTGTTATCTTTGCATCAGGTTAGTTCATTTAAAAAATAATATATTATGATAAAATCTAGGGTGGAAATCGTTAATTGTCAGTTAATATCCTAACTGTCTGAATAGGAATTCTGCTTATCAAAAGCATCTTTACAGATCCAAAAAATAGTACAGTCTCACCATTCATTCCTGTCCATGGCTTATTTCTCCAGTGAGCCCAGTCTGGCCATTCCCCTATCCATAATGTCCAACCATAGAATCATAGAATCATAGAGCTGGAAGAGACCTCGGAAGGTCATCAAGTCCAGCCCCCTGCTCTAAGCAGGACCAATCCCAACTAAATCAACCCAACCAGGGCTTTGTTAAGCTGAGACTTAAGCACCTCCAGGGATAGAGACTCCACCACTTCCCTAGGTAACCCTTTCCAGTGCTTCACCACTCTCCTAGTGAAATAGTTTTTCTAATATCCAACCTGGACCTCTCCCACCACAACTTGAGACCATTGCTCCTTGTTCTGCC